ATATATATATATATATATATATTGAAAAGGATGTGAGGAAGACATTGTTATAATAAAAATAAAAATTCATTAAAAATCATATTTAAATATATACATAGAAAATAAAAATGTAAGCAATATTTAATAATCATACTCATTTAAGGATAAAGGCTTCGCATTTATTCATATTCCAAGTAAGATTGTACTTGTAATAAAATGAAAGAAACTTTTTAGAGATAGTTATGTGTTCTTTCTAACTAAAGATCTTTTTTCATACTATATAAATGTTAGTTAAGTCAAGCTTGAAAACGTAGCAAGCTAAAGTAGGCCTTTATAAAAATGCAATTCAAATTTTTGCAAATATTGCAAAAAGTAATGCTATTCACTTTCTATGCTAAATTAATCATGAATTTCATATGGATCATCATAGAAATTTTTATAATTTATTAGAATAGAGAAAGAAAAAACAACACTAGGTTCATACAGAAAAATCAGTATATAAGATATTCCATTGTAGGTGTTTCATAAAAATCGTAATAATGCTCAAGGATAAATTCCCCAAGATCATTTTGAGAAAATTCTCATATTAGCCATATTAAAACAATATAAAATTACCAGTTCTAAATTCAAAAGTTAATAATATTAGGATCAAGAGTTTTTTCTTTCTTATAGCTAACAAGTTCTATGTTATCTAATACGTTATCTTTTTTATTTTATCTTCCCTCTATCTTCGCTTTTCGTCACACATTTTTATACTCCAATACTCATTTATCATTGAGTTTGTTATAATAGTTTGGTTAACCAGTTATATAATAAAATTAACAGAATTAAAAATTGCGAGTTCATTGGATTTGACTTACTGTTTTCACTGTGATATCGAATTAAGTATATAAAGTTAGCAAATCACTTAAAGTTTGTAAGTTCGGGTATGTAATACAATGCAAAATACCAACCACATCTGAACACATGAACACTTTAGACGATATGATTCGCTAAATGCTTAAAAAAACTATTTATAGCCTCAATTTTGATATTAAAATTTTCGTTTTAAAATGATTTCAGGAATTTATTCTTAAGCGTCTTTACTTTAGGGACATTCGATGACAAACAATTGATAATGACAAATTAAGATCTGTGGATCCTATCAATTGTATAGTCATAATAAAGATTATAAATTTAGTCATAATAATGACTAAAAGCTATCGAATAAATGCATTTGAGGAGACATTATTAGCGCTATTTGTGACATTTTATCTTCTTAGTTTAGATACAAAACAAGTATAGAATGATACAAATAGTGTTAATAATGTCTCCCCAAAGGCATCAAGAAACAATGACAATCCCTAATGCCTGATAACAATAGCTATTAATATATTATTATATTAATATTTTAATTAGATTATCAGTTTTTATGAAAAGACCTGATTTTCCTCTTATATAAATAAATGCGTGATTATATATTAAATGACTTTAATTGCGAATATACTATGTATATTTAAACTTGAAAAATATGTGTGCATATATAAGTCTTATAAAAGTAATAATTATTCTTAAGTAGTTTTCAATTCATTTTTTGCTACTTTCAAATATTTTTTTAAAATATGATCGAAGAAAAGGAATTGTAAGCAGAAATTTGTAATATTTGTATAAATCAACTGTAATTAATAAATAGATTTATAAATGGTCTTGTAAAGTGTAACCTTAAAGGTAAAAGAACTATAAATGCTATTATAGTTCTTTTCCTAATTCCTAAAAATTAGATACTTACATTTATGATATTACTTATGACTTCAATATTTTTTTCTTTCTTCCATCACTAAACATCAATATTCGAAAAATAATATCAAATATTTTTTAAACTTATTCTTCACTAAAGAAAAAAATGTTCATACAAATATTTAAATTTATAAGTTTACTCTGCAGTCTCAAACATTTTATAGAAAATGTATGCAAAAAGTAAATATAATCAAACATTTTTTGCCATTTCATAAATTTTCAACACCATATAATAATCTTGTTAAAATATCTGAAACGTATCTATCATGATCTTGAAAAAGTTCTTCCAACATATTTATATATTCTCATTGCTTCAACGAAACTATTAAGCCCTGAGAACATTTGACACAGCAGGAACGTCTGCAAAATCCTAAAATTTTACTGAATAATACCTGAAATATACATTTGCATTTCCAAAATGTATTTGTAGATAAGAAAATTTTTATGGGCAATGATATTTTGAAATTTTCATTCATTGAAATTTTTAACATATAAGAGACGGCAAACATCTATGAATCGTTCCCTTGGACAACCCATATCACTTATCCATATTTTGAGATGTGAAATAACAATAGTATGTTGCATTGATGCATTTCAATGCACAGGAATGACTTTGGAAGAATACCACCAAGGGCTAGTCACAATTAATTTATGTTTGCTGAATATTTACATCAAACGAATTAATATCTCTAGTCAGCCTTGCGTGGCTTACGCTTGCGAATATTAGGACTACTGGTATCAGCTTTACTGTCTTTATCTTTCTCACTCGTTTCTATTTCATTCATCTCAGATTCTTTTGTTTCAGATTCCTTTGCTTCAGATTCCTTCGTTTCAGGTTCTTCTGTTTCAGATTCTTCTTCATCTATTAAATCATCTCCAATGTTTTCTGCAATTTCATCTTCGTCTGAATTTTTCTCTTGAATAGCACTGTCTGTTGCACCAGTCTGTTTCTTCTTGCCTTGTTGCTGTGCCGGTTTTTGTGGGAAAAAGAAGTCAATCAAACACACAACAAGCTACAATCACAAATACAGTTAACATCATCTGTTTGTTAGATATAGAAATTTTATACATAATTATGAAATATATTATTCCTACCAGTCCTAATATTGTGCCTAAAACAACTGTTGCAGCAGCAAAAATCAAGTAACTACCCCACACAGGTAGTCCAACATCTTCCAAAAGTTGATTGTGGATATTCTGAGTGAAAACAGTAATGTTTCATTGAAATTTTTACAATAGACGTAATATTATTTGTGTGTTTGTGTGTTTGTGTGTATGTTGTGTGTGTGTGTGTGTGTGTGTGTGTGTGTGTGTGTGTGTGTGTGTGTGTGTGTGTGTGTGTGTGTGTGTGTGTGTGTGTGTGTGTGTGTGTATGTACACGCCGCATGTGTGTCATGTGTATGTATATGTAACTTACACGTAACATTTGGGATAACTTAAAAAATTGACTTAAAAATGACATGTGGAATGAAGTTGGATTTTTCCAACTAGATATTGGATCCACTTTCGTCCATGTCTTTTCAGATACAAATTCGATCAATGATGATATATCTCTCGGACTTTTATACTGCCTAAATATCCCATTGTTTACACTAGGAAATAAAAAATTAATTCTAAAATACATT